CCCCCCCCAGAACCCCCCAGAACTGCAGGGCCTTGGAGGTGGGTGGGCGGGGGCGCACTGCCCTCTGGGCCCGTGGAGGGGCCCCCACAGAGGCTGAGGGGGCGGCGTGTCGCCTCGCCTCCCAGCCTGCTTCCCACCTGCACACGGGCCGCGGCAGGGGCTCAAGGCTAGTACCCACCAGACAGCCAGAGGCCGCGGAGAACCTGACCCCAACTCCTGCCCGTGGCCCTGCCGCGTGGTCGTGCACACGCTGTGGGGCCTGTGCGAGACGGAAGATACCCCCACGTGGCAGACACGTCCTCATGGACTGAGGGCCAGGCGCTCAGCAGCCGAGAGACCCTGGGGGAGGGTGGGGGGAGGGTGGGGCGAGGGAGGAGCTACAGTCCCCCTTGTTGGGAGAGGGGCAGTCCCCTGCTGGGCCCCCAGCGGACCCTCAGGCTCAGAAACACCAGCTGACCCTCTAGTTGGCTGCTCCCTGCACCCCTAAGCCAGATTCCCAGCCCTCACCTCCTGCCTGATCCTTCCCCACCCACCACCCTCACCCCAGCCACTCTGCATCCCCCCACAGCCCTCCACAACCCTCACCACAGGCCTCCCAGGGCCCCAGGTCGCCTGCCCTGCACCGGGCTCCCCGGGCCCACCGAGCTGTCCACACAGCACGGCCTCTCCCCCCCCCGCGCCGCCCCCCCCCCCCCGCCCCCAATCTGCCCTCGTGTGTCCCCGGACCCCCTGGACCGTGAGGGCAGAGCCCTGTGTCTGGCGCCCAGCTCAGGCCTGGTTCCTGGAGGCAACCGGGAACAGGCAGGAAACGGGAAAGCCGTTCCCCCAGTGTGGACACCGTGTCCTCGGGGCCCGGTGCCGGCCCGTCCTGAGGAGGTGCTCAACCAACACTCTTGAAAACCCCATCACGTGGGTCCTCCCGCCTCCGGACCCTCCACTCCCTCCCCACTGCCACGTCTGGACCTTCCCAGTTGGGGCCCCTGGGGGCTCTGGGCCACAGCTGGCCTGTCTGAGCCCTCCCGTGGCCAGCTCCAGCCCCACCAGCACCCCCCAGCCCCGGAGACAAGGCCCCCTTCATCTTTCAGGCTGCCCGGCTGCGGTGGGGCAGGTGCGGAGCCCCGAGTTCCTGATGCTCCAGGGTGGGTCCTGCAGGCCCATCGAGGGGGCGGCAGTACCCTGGCCACCCGCTCGCCAGGGGCTCCAGACTGCCCGGGAGAAGGCCAGGCAGGGTGCCGAGGGGGGTCAGAAGAGCCTGGGGCTTGTCGGTGCCCCGTGGGCTGGCGCGGCCCCTACCTCCCGCCCGAGTCACCGAGTGTCCACGGAAGCAGGGCGTGAGCTAGGCGTGCACACACGAGTCCGCGTGCCTTCACGTGTATGAGCATACGCAAGCTCGCCACGCCCCTCCCCTCCCACGCACACCCACAAACACACACGCTCATGAGTGGCTCACACACGTCACATTCCCTGAGGCCACAGGCAGTGACCACCCCCCTCCCCACCACGGGAGGCTCTGAGGACCATGCCTCACAGCCTTCCCTAGCGAGGGGCCCTCGAGGCCACCCACATCTGTCCATCCCAGTCTCCCTGCTGAAAGTCCTCCCCCCAGACCTCTGTGAACGCGCCCAGCCGCCAGCCCATGCCGTCCTGCACACCTGCAATGGCGTCCCCCCCCCCCCCCCCCCCCCGCCACCCCGTCTCTTCCGCAGCCAGCCAGAGACGGCTCTGCACGGCGCTCCTGGGCCCACCTGAAAGCCCACCCTGCTGGCGTCTTGAGGGTCCAGGGCATGCCGGCCCCGCGCCAGCCCACGAGGCGACACTTACGATAACCACCTGGCAGACGTGCCCGCGGCAGAGCTCCGCGTAGGTCGAGTAGTGCACATACACCAGCCAGCTGCCCACAAAGATGCCCAGCCACAGCAGGAAGACGTACTTGACCCGGAGGCCCGGGAGCCGGCCCTGGGGGGAGAGAGGAAGCGCCACATTCGGGGTGCATTTACCTCCCCCTCCACTGACCCCGGCCTTCCCGGCCTACCCCCCGCCCCCACCCCCGGGGCCAGCACCCTGCCCGGCTCCGGCTTCCAAAGCTGCCCACCCCCCGGGGGCACTCCCTACGCCTCTCCTCCCAGTCTCCCTCCGCCCTCGGTGCACCCACTCCGGGCTGGGGGCCGCTGCCCGGTGCTCCCAGACTTTTAAATCACGCAGGCAGGGTGATTTAATTTCAAACCGAAGGGACGCCTAGAGTAGGCAAGTCTACTTTGACGAATAAAGACCTTTTTTGACAAACTCTCTCCCATCTTGGCCTCCTTTCACGACGACGTTGTAACCTCTGCACGAGGTCGAGGTGGAAAACCACCACCCGTGCACCCTGTCCTCTGACCGGTGGGCAGTTCCAGCTGGGCCAGGGCCAGCACGGGGGCCGGGGCCGGGGGGCGCTGGCACAGGGGGCAGGGTCTCAGCAGCCCTCACCCGGGGAGCCTGGAAGGGACACGACCTCGCACACCCACGAGAACGGCCGCATTGTCCCGAGGGCCAAAGAGAGACACAACCCAAGGGTCGACCGACCGGTGAGGGGGGAAACAAAACAGGGTCCGTCCACACCGTGGAACGTCATCCGCTCTTTAAGAGGCAGGGATGGGGCGCCTGGGTGGCGCAGTCGGTTAAGCGTCCGACTTCAGCCAGGTCACGATCTCGCGAGATCTCGCGTGATCTCGCGTGAGTTCGAGCCCCGCGTCCGGCTCTGGGCGGATGGCTCGGAGCCTGGAGCCTGTTTCCGATTCTGTGTCTCCCTCTCTCTCTGCCCCTCCCCCGCTCACACTCTGTCTCTCTGTCTCTCAAAAATAAATAAACGTTGAAAAAAATAAATAAATAAAATAAAATAAAAGGCAGGGAATCCCAACACAGGCTACAACGCGGATGAACCTTGAGATCACTGTCCTCAGATGAGCCTGTCACACACAGAAGGACAAGTCCTGTAGGACCCACTCACAGGAGGCCCTGGAGAAGTCGGATCCGCAGGCGTGGCGGGGAGGGGAGGGTCCAGTCCGGGAAGATGAACACGTTCGGGGGACAGACGGGGGGACGGCTGCACGACCGCGTGAATGTGCCTGACGCCCCTGAACTGTGCCCTCGAGAATGGTTGAGATGCTAAACTTCACATGGTGTGTATTTTCCCGCAGTAAACAATAAATAAGATAAATAGCCCCTGTCCCCGCTGCCAGAGGCCCTGTCCCAGATGTCCGGGTGGACGGGGGACAGCTTCTGTGGGGGTTCAGCCCCCTCTGCCAGGTTTCCCCAGCTGACGAGCAGAATCGCAGGACGTGAGGGCCCCAGACCCGTGCACAAGCAGGTGGGCTGAGGGTTCGGTGTCCCACCCAGCTCCCAAACCCCTGGGTTCCAGGGACACCACCTCCCAGCCCCACCCCCCACCCTGGCAGATCACAGGCCTCCCAGACGGCCGTCCTAGAGCAGCCAACTGAGGGGATGGGGTTACCAATGTCTCAGTCGGTGGGGGGGGGGGTGAACCCCAGAGGAAAGGGCTGGGACCCGGGGGGCCAGGAGAGCCCAGAGCTTCAGGTCCCCGTGCCCCCCCACCTCCCTCCAGCCACACTACGTGCCCCAGGGCGGCGGCTCCAGTCCTCGTAGCCCGGGGTCCCGGCTAGCTGAAGGCTGGGGCTGGCGCTGAGAGACAGGGCCACCGGCTCTCCAGTGAGGACAGGGTGGGGGCCTCACCTCCCGATTCCCTGGCTCCCGCCCTGGGAGGGGCTGCGGCAGGAGGGCCCCGGGGAGCTCCAGGGGCCGCTGAGGGGCAGCAAGGACCAGGCAAGAACAGGAAGGCTCGGGCCTCGGCCCTCCTTGTCCTTGCCACCACATCTGCTTCCGTCACATTTGTTCAAAATGAAAAACAGGAAAGCAGAGAAACAGTGGATGGGGGGCCGGGAGCCGGGGGGGCGTCGCTGTGGCAGGACAAGGTCAGAAGACTTCCGGCCGGCGGCGCACAATGCCGCGAGGTGGCGGGAGCGGGGCCTTGGGTGGGCATTCAGCTCCCAGAGGGCCCTGAAGGCTGGCGGCAGGGGTCAGAGGTTGATGGGTAGGAGGAGGACAGGCCGGAGCAGCGCTGGGCCTCGGGGGGGGGGGGGGGGGGACCTGGGGCGGACCCAGGCACACGGGGTGACCGTGGGCCCAGGAGCCTGCCTGCAGGGCCCAGCACAGATAGCACCTCGGTCCTGACAGACTCCCTCCACGCTCTCCCAGTATGCGGTCCCCACGCTCTGGGTCCTGGATGGGTTACATGGGTCCTTCCTCTAGGAGCCGTGCCTGCCCTCCAAGCGTCCCGTCTCCCACCAGTGAGTGAGCCCCTGGGGCAGGACAGGCTTACTCTCAGGCGAGTCCCATGCAGCTCCCCGATCCCACCTGGCCTCAGTTCCTAACCAAGCCACTCGGGGAGTAAGGAGAATCACTCAGGGGTCAGTAACAGCCACGTCACCGTTACTTTATGCACCAGCACCCCACGCGCACCATGGCACCAACCCTTACCTCTAGCCCAGAAGGATGTTTCACGGACAGGGAGACTGAGGCTCTGAATGTGGCCCCTTAATAGCAGGTGGGCGGGGCTGGCTCCAACCCCTGGGAACCAGACCGTCCCAGTACCTAGGTCAAGCTCTGGGCCTCCTCTGCAGCAACCTGGTCAAGGCCCCTCCCTCAGGATGGGGTGGGAGGGCGGGGAGGGCACACCCCACTTCCCAGGCCTGGGGGTGCGCCCTCAGACCCCTCAGCAGCTCCCATCTTGCCCAGGGCTGGGTGGAGACCGGGATGCACCCTGAGGCCCAGGTGGGCAGGGAAGGCGTCCCCCACGGACACAAAACCCGAATGTTTCCTGACTCCCAGGCTTCTTCCCGGAGGGGACGGGAGGACAGCCAGGCCGGGGCCAAGGGCGCACCACGGCAGGGACCCTCTTGCCCCAGGGCGGCCTGCAGAGGCCAGGGAGGTGTGGGCTGCTCGGAACAGGGCTGCGGAGGACAGGTGCATTTCGGTCTCGGGGGCGGGCCTGGCCCCGACCACCCAAAGCAGCGGTGACAGGCTTCCCACCGTGGTTCCCAAGGCAGCCTGCGCTTCCCCCGCAGACAGCGGCCCCCTGGCGGGGACGGAGACTCGTCCAAGGTCATGGTGGGGTCAGGGCACACCCCTGAGGTCGGGCCGGCTGGGAGACGACCCACGGGGAGGTTATGTCCTTCTGACGGCGTTTCTGCGGGTCCCAAGTTTTCCACAACAGGAAAACCAACCTCACCTCTCTTCCAAGTGAGGGGCCGGCGCGGACTCGGCGCGGTTTCCGGGCCTCTGGGAAGGGGGGTGGGGGAGGGGTCCCGCCCGTGGGGGAGGGGCTTCTGCGGCCCCGCGGGCCGGGGCGGCCACCCCGCAGCCCCCGCCGGCCCGCGACGTCCCGACCCCAGGCCCTCCCGGCCCGCGGGCGGCACGGAG